GGCTGGAGTGATAGCATAGTGGGTAGGACATTTGCCTTGCATGCGACCGACCCGAGTTCGATTCTCAGCATACCACATAGTACCCAACCAAGCACCACCAGGAGTAATTCCTGAGTGCAGTGCCAAGAGTAACCCCTGTACATCACCGGGTGTGCCCCCCCCCAAAAAGAAGAATTTCTGAGGGTTAGAAAGGAGATCCAAGAGTTTACATATTTGCCTCCAAGCCTGAGGTGGAGGGGTAAGACACAGTATTAATACTTAGACATTCTGCACATTACACTCAGGAGATTCATGAACTAGCTCAAAGACTGAAATACTGTTACAATGTATACAAAAGACAATCACTTTCTGCTGGAATCCTAAGCTTTGAATGATACTCATTGATTTATGATTTTTTAAAAACTTATATTTCAAAAGTGGTTCATGGGACTCTGGTGGACATAGAAGAGAAAAAGAGTAAAATCTGTCTCCTTTCTCTATTAACTGACCTTCCAGGAGGGCTTCTGCAGGGGCCAAGAACTATCACCTACTTACCTAAGAAAGCTCAAAAACAGAGCGTTCCAGAATGCTTTCTTGGGCTGTAGTCGGGGAGGGGCGGGGCACACCCAGGGGTGCTCTGGTGCTGCTCCAAGACCCATATGCAGTGCTGGGGGCTGACCAGTGGTCACAACTGTGCACAGCAAGTGCCTTAGCCCCTGTAATTTTTCTCTGGCCCCGAGTCTGTAGAATTTCCAACTTTACTGCAAAATCACACTCATTCTAACTGATATATATTAAAATTATATAGTGACTTCTAATCTCAGTTTTGTACCCAACTATCCTGTGAAGTCTAAAATGGCATCATCTGAAAGTTTATACTCTTCACATATTGTGGAGTGAGAGCTAATGGAGAAATGAGTGAAATCAAGGTCAAGGTCAAGGGCTCAGGAGGAGCAGCTTGGGTCATCCACCATCCATCCATTATCTGCCATCCATCTACCAACCCATTCATCCCATTCATCCATTTATCCATTCATCTTTCCACCCCATCCATCCATCATCTACTATCCACCCATTGATCCATAATCCATCCATCTATCTACCCCATCCATCCACCCCATCCATCCATCCATCCATCCATCCATTCATCCATCATCTACCATATATCCATCTATCCAGAATTCATCCATTCACCCACCTGTCCAACCATCATCCACCCCAACCAGCCACCCACCCGCCATCCAGTTCCCAAGACCTCTGTGCAGCAGGAGCAGGCTTGTCCCATCAAGGTCCTTGTAAAGCGGTGAGGCATGGGGGATGCATGGGAGCCCACGAGACTGCACTTGGAGACACAATCACAATGGTCCACAGGACGCCCCTGGTAGCCACACGGACAAGGAGAGCCAGAACAGCAGCCAAGAGAACTCGGCCTCAAACATCTTTCTCAGGAATTTGAGTTTTGTTTTGTTTTGTTTTGTTTTGTTTTTGCAGAGGACAGTGCTTTGGACTCACTCCTGGTGTTGCTCAGGGATCACTTCAGACCACAGCGAGGATGACCTCACTCTCAGAGAGGACACCGAGACAGAGAATGAAGAACAGAAAATGAACCAGGAAAACAAACTCCACGATCTTGAACCCAGAAGTGCGGGTACAGTTCCCTAAGGGGGAAGGGTGGTTGGAGAAGACAATGTGTGTGTGTGTGTGTGTGTGTGTGTGTGTGTGTGTGGAGAAGGGGTGTTGAGAATACAGACCCTAAAACTCACATTCACAGTCTCATAAATCACTCTTACTTTTGTTAAACAGATAACAATTTTTCTTTTCTTTAAAACAAAGAAGGACAAGCAAAGAACGGGGGGGGGGGGGGGGGGGACGACACTGCAGTTGGCCTTGCTGGGTCTCCGTAAGTGAAAATGTGTTTCCTGATGGAGCGCAGGAAGGAGGGCCCCTGGGAATCCATCTCACACTCATCTGACACATTTCTTGAGGGTGTGCAATTAGGGGATCACCTCAGCGCGGCGGGGAGAAGGTGCCTTCACAGTCTGGGCTCTGCTCTAAGGCTTTGGGGTGGAGGGGTTTGGGGGGCCTTCCTCTCCACCCCTGGTCCCCACTTTCTCCTACCTCCCGCCCCCGAGCTCATAGCACAGGCTTCCCTGGAGGCCAAGAGGAGGCCCTGTGAGTGATGGAACAAAAGTCCAAAATGACTCTAAGTTGGGCACTGCTTTTCAGAGCAGAGACCCCAGGGAGTATTTGTGTGTGTGTGTGTGTATGTGTGTGTGTGTGTGTGTATGTGTGTGTGTGTGTGTGTGTGTGTGTGCGCGCGCGCACGCGCGCGCATGCAGGGACTGACAAGGAACACAGAAGGGTCCGATGGAAAGGGGAGCACTGCTCTTCCATCAGGCCCATCTCCCCTGCCCCATTAGCACCGAGGGGCGGCTCCACGTCTGTCTTCCTGCTCACCTGGGCACTCCCAGTCCAGAAGCAGGACCACAAACACAGGTGTGTGTGCACTAGCCCAGCCCTGTGCTAAGTTCAAACACGGTGGAGTGGATATGCAGGAGGACACCGAAGCACCCCCTCCTTACCACGTGCTCCCAACACCCAGTCCTGAGGGGAGGAGGTGGCCTGGGGCGCTCCCTGCCTCCCTCTGGCTAGGGTGGCATCATTGGTGCAAGCTGAGGCCACAGGAGGTGCTGGCAGGAAGGACAAAGGTGGGAGAGGACTTTGAGAGGTCTCTCTCTCAGTCTCTGTCTCTCTCTGTCTCTCTCTCTGTCTCTCTGTCTCTCTCTCTGTTCTCTGTCTCTGTCTCTCTCTCTCTCTCTCTCTCTCTCTCTCTCCTGCTTTTGGGTCACCACACCTGGCTTACTCCTGGCTCTGTGCTCAGGGATCATTCCTGGATGCTCAGGGGACCACGTTGGGTGCCAGAGATCGAACCCAGCTCAGTCACATGCAAAGGAAACGCCTAACCTCGCAGTTCTATCCTCAAGCCCTAAGGTCCTGCTATTTTTTTTCTTGCTTAACCGCGGGTTCTCATTTTCCCCTGGGACTCTTCAGCGAGGCTCGAACCGCACCTCTGCTGCCCCCGTGTGGCCACAAGAAGCTCTACACGCTGTGTGCAAACACACCTTGCCTTCTGGGTGAAACTCTTCAACCTCCAGCCCCAGCCTGCCCCAGACTGCAAGGGGGTGGGGTGGAGGGGTATGGGGTGGGGAGGTCCTGGACGCATTTCTCTTCCCCTTTTCGCCAGTCAGTGGATTGTCTCACTCTTTGCACTACAGGCAGCTCTTCCAAAGAGCAAGTTCTGGAACACTGTGGCACATGGACAAGATGGAGAAAGACACTGATGAAGGCTGGAACAGGATAGGGCATTCTGGCAGGAGTAAGCATGAAGATAAGAAGGGATGATGCTTCAGGAGACTCACGGCCCCTGGCAAGGCTGATCATGATCCTGGAGGCAGCCTGCCGCTCAGGGAGCACATGCTAGAGCCTGGAGCTGGTGACCTTTACCCACATGGGAGGTGAGCAACCCTTACCCAGTGGCAGGGCTGCTGGCTCACAGAAAAAAACCAGGGGAAGCCAGTGGGGTCCCCCAGCCTAGAATCCCCACCAATGGTTCTGACCAGGTCAGCATGCTCCGTCTGACCCACTGACCATGAAGACTTAAGAACCAGAAGCCCAATTTGCTGGTCCCACCCAATGCCACTGTCACTGTCCTCCCGTTGTTCATCGATTTGCTCGAGCGGGCCCAGTAACGTCTCCATCATGAGACTTGTTGTTACTGTGTTTGGCATATCGAATACGTCACGGGGAGCTTGCCAGGCTCTGCCGTGCGGGTGAGATACTCTCGGTAGCTTGCCGGGCTCTCTGAGAGGGGCGCAGGAACAGAACCTGGCTCAGCCAGGCTCGCTGTGCACAAGGCAAACACCCTACTGCTGTGCTATTGCTCCCGCCCACCCAACGCCATGCAAACAAATTTAACCTCCTGTGAAACTGCAGAAACTGCAGAGGGGCATTCATGCTAAGCCGTGCAGTAACCCCTTCCTCTACTCCTTAATTCCACATCGTCTCTTCTCAGCTCAAACTGCTGGATCCTACCACTACGTTCAGAAGGCTGCCCCAGCCAACAGGCTCTGTTTTCAAAGCACAGGTGCACGCTGTGTCAAACACACCTGCCTTCTGGATGAAACTCTTCAACCCCCAGTTTCAGAACCCGATGCCTTCACGCCTTTCTCCTGCAGGGGACACCGGGGTCACCTGACAGTAAGCCAAGTAAACCCCACTGGCTTACCCCAGGGTCACCTGCTGCCAGACTGTTCACGTGGCCTTGTACATCCCCTCCCCTCTGCTCTAAGTCTCCCTCCTCTACAGAACAGGGTCTCAGAGCGCCCTGGAGGGGTAAACGAGCAAGTGTGGGTGACATGTGGCACAGGAAACAATGGATAAGTTGGGTTCACTCTGTCCTATAGCCACTTCTCAAAATGAATTTGGGATGGAATGAATTCTCTCTCTCTCTCTCTCTCTCTCTCTCTCTCTCTTTACAACAGTCATTACAAAGAGCAATGAAAATAGCAATGAAAGGAATGAAAAGACAAACTCGATTTTCTCTCTCTTCCCCCAGCAGTGAACACCATCCCTTCCTAAAATGGGGAGGCTGGCCGGCACGGAGGCCACACCCTCCTCATCTTCCTCTCGGCTCCAACACCATTTGCGGATTATTCTTCCTCCAGTTTCTCCCTTAATGGTCTGTCATGGTCCTTGGCAGAGCCAGCCTCTGCATCAATTCCATCTTTTAGGAAAAGTAAGGAGCTCTGTGTGTGTGTGTGTGTGTGTGTTGATGTGTGTGCATGTACGTGTACATATGAGTGCATGTGTGCATGTGTGTGCATAATTGTACGTGTGCACACCTACAGGAATGGGTAGGAAGAGCACCTTCCTATACATGTTGGGCAAGCTTGCCTTCAGTAGCTCTGGTTCCCCCCTGCCACTTGCTCACCCCTACACCTCCCTGCACAGGAAACACTTACCTATTGGTGCTCTCCAGAGCCTCAACCTTCTTCCGGAGCTCCGAGTTCTCGGTCGAACAAGACTCCACCCTGTAAAGGGAAGAGAAGAACATGGGGTTCGATCAGTGAAGCAGGAGCAAGGGTGCAGGGAGGTAGAGATGGGAGAGGGGCGTAATATGAGGGTTCTAGGGAGGCCAGGGAGAGAGAGACACACACACACATGCAACGTAGGATGGGAAAAGAAACAGAGAGAGTTGAACGATTTGAATCAAGGATGGGACAATGAAGAGAGATGAGAAACGTTCTTAAGGTGTTCCAATCTTGATAGGAAGCTGGGTGGGGGCGGTGGGTGGGCAGGAAGGACAGAAACCCATAAAAAACCCTCAAGACAAGGAATCCAAGCGCAGGAGCACGCATGTCCCAGACCAGTCAAGAGCTATATCTGCGCAGAAACATCCCAAAGCTGACACTGCTGAAAATGATAGTTCTAAATGACCGGCCTCTCCATCTAGGAAAGCTGATCAGAATCCAGGAGCCAATCAGAGCCAGGCAGAATCTACGAGAGCCAATCAGAGCAGACCATTCCTTTCTCAGGACCCATAGGAAAATTTCTGACTCTGGGACCTTACTCCCATCTTCAAATGACCCCAAGTTGGGGGCTGAGGAGCTAACTTGAGGGCTAGAACACACGTTTCACATGCTGGAGTGAGGCTGGGTCACTCCCTGGCATAACCTGGCATTCCTCAGAACCACAAGCAACAATCCCCAAGCATCCCGCTGAGAGGACAGACTGGGCGTGGCCCATACCCTGCCCATCTGTCGGCAGAACTATCTTCTAGGACTAATGCAAAAACCAGACTCAGTTGTTTAATATACATTTTCCTAACGCTCCTCCTGATGTTTCAGGTTACTATTTTTCCCCCCAGAAGAACTAAGAATGTCTTCAAGTGTTTCTGTGAAAAGTCACTTGGTGACTTGGTGAATTCAGTGGACAGGAACATACAAAGCCCCAGTTTGCTGTCCCTAGGGGTGGCTGGACGTGGTCAGTAAGTACTGCTTAACTGGAACTCTGATGTTCCTTCCGGACTCAGGAATCAACGTGGATATTTTCATGGGTCAGAAACAGTGGTTCAAAATTAAGACTGAACTCCATTTGGCTTGTTGCCATACTTAGAAGTTTCCTCCCGATTCGTAGGCGGTGGGGAACACAGAGCTGATCTACCCATGGGCTTGACCGCAGCCAGGAAGGAGCACTTTTCTTGCTTCTCGTGGATAACATGTTTCCCACACTCAAACTTCCCCGTGTACACTGCCCCGTAAACACACCCAGTTTGGCTTACTTTTTCTCCAAGCTGTCCATGTATTCTTTCTTCTTTCTTCTACTTTCCTGGGCAGAGATCTGACAGAGAGGAAGAAAAAGGGGTCCAGCTGAATCAGGAAGGCAGTTTGCTGGGTGACTGTGGGGGGTGGGGTGGGGGGCGTCAGGGTGTGTGGGGGGGGCAGGGGGGTGGAGATCACTTCCAAGACCTCGTGGGCTTCCGGAGGCTCCCAGCTCTGGTGCCCATCACCTGGTCTGTCCTCCTCAGCTTCAACCCATCTCTGTTCTCCCCTACTCTGCTGCAAAGAGGCCTCCAGTGGGAAGGGCAGGGAACAGCAGCAAAGTGACAAGTGACCAAAGGCATCTTTGAAAGACCATTTCAACTCTGCACCACCAGGTGGCGCAATGATAATACATGAAATAAGACTTTGGGGCTTGGGCGGGTGCAAACCCTCAGGTCGTTCTGCAACTGGGTGGGCAGCCAGGACCAAGGTCTTTCCATCCTGCCCTGTCTGCCTCCTCCATCCTGAGCACTCTGAGTGCTGCACCACAACCCCAAGTCTCACCTCACCTGGGCCTCTGACCTAGGAGACAGGGGAGCTTGAACCCAGGTACAGAACAGTGTTCTGCAAAAATGGCTTAGAAATCCAAAACCCCTATGAAGAAACTGGAAGGGAAGAACCCACATGGATTTCTATTTATTAATTGGCTGATAGTGTTCAGGGCTTACTCCTGTCTCTGTGCTCAGAGATCACACCTGGTGGGCTCTGGGGGCCCTACGGGGTGCCAGGGACTACATCAGGGTCAGTCGTGTGCAGGACAAGCATCCTGACCATCATACTTTTACTCTGGTGCCATATTTCTATTAATAAATTATGTGCACGCATGGGAGAGGAAGATATCATACACTGCTACTTTAAAAACAATTTCAGTGGAAGTTCTGATTTTGCTGGGGGGAGGAGAGAGTCCCAAACAAGCTCATGAGGTCCAGGACTCCCACCGGGGACCTCAGCCATCTGGGCCATTAGCTCAATGCAAGAACTGGCTGAGCAGCAGATGCTGCTCGAACCCTGCACTGCTGGGAATGCCCAGTCCACCCTGGCAGTGCTTGGAGTCTCCAGGACTGTACCTGGCGATGCTCGGGGCCCCACGGGGTGCCTGGGATCAGAGCTGGGTCAAGTGCTGTGCTCTGTCCCGGTCCCTAAGCTCTGATATTTTCTTCCCATCGTTGAATAGATCACTGTGGGCACCAAGGAGTGGGCTTCCCTGGGTGAGAGGGTGTAGGAAGGGGCTGAGGAATAGGGTCCCAGCCAAGGCAGAGGGAGGGCCGGGTCTGGCCGCAGCTCTGAGGGACTGGGGAGGGGCCGAGGCCGGGTGCTGGGCCCCGCTGCTCATTGGCTGTCGGGAAAGGTCACCTTATTCTTGATCTTCCGCCGGATCTTCTTCAGGGCCTTCTCCTCGGACTTGGTGAGGGGCAGTTTGGTGGGGATGGGATAGCCCTCGGCGACCAGGGTCCTCTTCTCCTCCTCTGTCAGAACCAGGGGGCCGGAGCCCTGCAGTTTCTACAGAGCACAGCGGGGTTAGCGGAGAGCCAGCAGGCACCAGCCCAGAATAGCCTCAGCCTAGCCAAGGGCTCTTGGTGGCCAAAGAGGGCATGAAGGGGAGGAAGGACGGTGGACAGGTCACTCCTGCTGAAATGGTTTAGCCTGAGGATTGTACTTCAGCAGAAAGACCCCTCCACGACACACACACACACACACACACAAAATACACTTCCTCTCACAAGCACGCCAGCAACACCATCCAAAGTACAAGTACGGACGCATCCCAGCGACCGCATTCCCATAGGAAAGTGCTTGGACATTCTCCTGAAAATGCAATTTTTCAAGGTGCTCTCTAGGCCCTCCAAGCCGCTGAGCACCAGCCCAAGAGCCCACCTGCAGGCACTCTGCAAGGATGTGCCTGTCAGCCTCCAGCCGGGCCGGGCAGTCCCTCTCGAGGGGCACAGTCACTCAAACCATCTGTGCACCACACGGGCTGCATCTTAGCTCCCCGGTGGAGAAGTGGAGGCACAAGAAAAAAGGCTGCCCTGGGGTGGCTTGAGATCCAGACTAAGTGTGAAGAGGTCCCCATGGGAGGGGAGCGCCCCGGGCAGTGCTCAGAGCTCAGAGACCAGTGTGCAATCACACTCGGGGACAGAACACAGGTGTGACTGTGTGGCAAGGAAATGCTTGGGGGCTGGACACACAGTTGAAAAGGGGCTGGGGTGATGGGACAGTTGGGGATGCATGTGGCTGACCCGGGCTCCATCCGTGGCTCCCCATATGGTGCCCTGAGCCCTACTAGGAGTGATCCCTGTGCACAGAGCTATGAGTCAGCCTTGAGCATCTCCCCTCCTGGTAAAGAGCTGAAAGGGCATGGCTGGAGGCCTGAGAGGAGGGAATCCAGGCAGCTGGGAACACTGGGATGGGGATACACATCAGGCATCTGGTACCCAGCAGTGGACCTCAGGCTTGGTACCAGGCAACACGTCACGGGGTAAGGCCGCACTTGTGAACTGACCACAGATGGAGAACTTTCAGCCACAGACCAAAGTCAGGTGTTCAAAATTAGGTCCATGGAGAGATGGTCTCAGAGAATTTCCATACGCCTCGTTTCAATTTATTCTACATGCTATTACATATTCAGGGGCTGACTTAAAATTTCTCTTTTTAAAAGCTATAGCAATCCAGAGCATTTCAGTACATGGGGGAGATAACCGTCACTCCCTAGATTTCATGGGCGGTGGGGGTGATGTGAGGTGTGCATGTGTGTGAGGGAGGAATGATCACTCCTGATTTCTATCCAGAATCCTGGGATTAAAAGTTATGCCTCAGACAAACAAACAAACAAAAAAATGTTAATTTTGACACCAAAGTGTTAAATCTCAGAGTTTCTAAATTCATTCAAGCTGGCTTCTTTTTCTGGCACTGTTGGTTATTTTGTAGCGCAAGTCTTAAGGACCGTTCCTACTGTTGACATGCATCCGTGACATAATTTTGGGCAAAAAAATAAAAAAATAAAAACACCAAAAACCCACCCTTGTCAGAGCAACGAAAGCACGTGAATAAGAACTGGAAATGAGCACAGGAAAGGGAAGTGAGCTCTAGAGTGAGGTCTATTACTTGGCGAGATTACGGGAAGTTCTTTAAAAATGTTAAGAGCTCTCAGCTCACTTTAGCTATCAAACGAAGAATGAAAAATAGGATGATGGGGGCTAGGGAGAGAGTATAGTGTGTGTGTGTGTGTGTGTGTGTGTGTGTGTGTGTGTGTGTGTGTAGGTCTTGCCTGGCATCAGACCCAACCTGGGTTCAATCCTGGGTGCTACCAGTGGTGACGGGATCACACCAGGAGAGACCCCTGAGCCCCGCCAGATAAGGCCCACTCTGAGAGCCCCACCCCGCAAAATAGAACACTCAAGTGATGCCCAGCAGGACCCCCTGTGGGTGAGGCCTCTGGAGGGGGGAGGCCAGCGGCCGGGGACACTCACGTGGGGCGCGGTGAGCAGCGGCGACGCGGACAGGGCGGAGGGGGCGCGTGCCAGCCCCCGGGGCGGGCTGTGGGTGGACGGCAGGCCGAAGGGGTGCAGGCGCGGGTTGGGGCTCAGGCTGCCCTCCGAGTCGCTGCTGTGACTGCTGGGCGGGGTGGGCGGGAGGTGCAGGTGGTCCGCGGCCGCTGGAGGACAGAACCGGGGGGCGCCGGTCAGTGGGGCTTGGGGGGGCACCCGGGAGACCGCGGGGACACCTCGCGCTGTGCCCCAACCAGCAAGAGCGAGGGGTGAAGGCTCGGGGAGCAGCGGACCCCGAAGGGTCCCTTTGGGTAAGGGTGGTACTGTGGGGGCGCCCCCCAGAACGCTGGGGAATGGGGGTGCTGGGAACATCAGGAGCTGGGCAGGAACCCGGTGTCCACCTCGTGGGAGGGAGGGGTGGCCCGGGGTCAAGGGGGGCTGCGCAGGCCCCTCCCTCCTGACGTTTCTGCAGGGTGCCGTCTTCCTGAGCACAAAGCAAAGCCTGGAGTCTGGGGGCTCCCCCTTCCGGGGGACAGGTGCAGGGGAGACTGCGGGCTTCCTTGCACGCGGCCGAGCTGGGTTTGACCCCGGGCATCCCCTATGGTTCCCCTGGGCCTGGAGTAAGCCCCGAGCACAGCCCAGGGTGACCCCCCACCAAACCACAACAGAAGGTGAGATTCCCCGAGAGAGACTCAGGATACCTGGAGGACAGAGGCGCAGGGAGGCCTGGGCACACCCAGTGTCCGGCACGAAAGCCCACCCCGCACCTGCTATTCCCTGGCCCGCGAGTGGAAACCATCAGGTAGGGCCCCTGGCGGCGAGGGGCGCCGTCCATCCGCCTGTAGGAAACCCAGGGCCTTGCCCACAGGGGCAGTGACTGGCCGCCACCAGGGGGCGCCCTCCCCCCACTGGAACACCTGAATCCAGGAAAGCGCGGCCAAGACACAGCACCTCTCCCTCCACTGGGCGTGGGATCTCTCTCTCTCTCTCTCTCTCTCTCTCTCTCTCTCTCTCTCTCTCTCTCTCTCTCTCTCTCTCTCTCCTCTTCTGTCTCCCTCTCTCTCTTTCTCTTGTTCTCTCTCTCTCCCTCTCTCTCCCTTTTTCTCCTCTCTCATCTCTCCTCTCTCTCTCTCCTTCTGTCTCCCTCTCTCTTTCTCTTGTTCTCTCTCTCCCTCTCTCTCCCTTTTTCTCCTCTCTCATCTCTCTTCTCTCTCTCTCCTCTTCTGTCTCCCTCTCTCTCTCTCTCTCCTCTTCTGTCTCCCTCTCTCTCTTTCTCTTGTTCTCTTTCTCTCCCTCTATCTCCCTTTTTCTCCTCTCTCATCTCTCTTCTCTCTCTCTCCTCTTCTGTCTCCCTCTCTCTCTCTCTCTCTCTCTCTCTCTCTCTCCTCACTTCCCTCCCCAACTCTTTTCTCCCTCCCCTTTCCTTCCCTTCCAATTTCCCCCAAACATTCTCCTTTTCTCTGCCCAATGGCTGCCTGGGTTTGTCAGGGTCTGTGGGCGCTCTCAGACCTAGCATAGCTTCTGTGAGAACCTGTTGTATCTCCCCGGCCGGACCACCTGGCAGCTCACAGCGCCAGGAGCCAGGAGGTCTAGTAGATGGGCACCAAAATCCAGAGACTAAGCAGACAAAGTCACAGGGTGCCCGAGGTTTGCCCACAGTTCTGGGCACCTACAGCCTCTAGGAAACAAGAAAGCAAAGGCTGAGACTGACTCGGTGCCCTCGCCGCCAGGCCGAGCTCTGGAGAAGCGCCCAGAGCACCTGGACCACACGCCGAGTGTGCCTGGCCCTTGTTATTGGCAGAGCCCACCTAGGTCGGCCCCGTTTTCCTTGCCAAACAGAGTCTGTCCCCCCACAAAAGCAGAAATGGAGGATGGCATCATGCAGCCCACGGGTCGATCCACGTTCTTCATGCCTGTTGGCATCCCCAGCACCAAACTCGAGGCAGGACCAGATCCCTAAATCTCATCTGAAATGAGATCACGAAGAGGACGCGGGCCACGGAGGCTAAGGGAGCCCCTGAACTCTGCCTGTCAGACATCAGGAGACATTTCTCCTCTATAGATCCCGGATCCCAAAGCCCCCGCGGATGCCTCCCTAGAGCGTATGGGGCTTTCGGAGGTTGACTGTGATGTTAATTAAACAAGGCAGTGTCGCCAAGATGAGAGGGATGAGTGGAAAGGCGTCTCCCACGCGGGAAAGCGCCACTGCCCAGCAGGGCAAAGCAACAAAGCAGCTCGTCTCCATATAGATACTGCATGGGGCTGTTGCTGAATTTTGAATTGCTTGGATAGTACATTGTGGTACCTGAAAAATGGGAGAAGAGAGAGGAAAGTGCTGGGAGATAACTATCAGACCAGCGGCAACCCTGCTTTAACTGCCGCAAAGCCAGTCCTCAGCTCTGAGTGGGTTAAATGGAGGGGACGTTTCTGGGCAGACGGTTCCCACGGAATCCGCATCCCACCGCATGGACCGCAGCCCTGGAAGACGCTGTGTTGCTCTTTCCTTGTCATGTTGGTGAGAGAAAGAATAAATCCCTTGGGGCTGGAGCAATAGCACAGCAGGTAGGGTGTTTGCCTTGCACATGGCTGACCCAGGTTCGATTACCAGCATCCCATATGGTCCCCTGAGAAATGCCAGGGGTGATTCCTGAGTGCAGAGCCAGGAGTAACCCCTGTGCATCGCCAGGTGTGACCCTAAAAGAAAGAAAGAAAGAAAGAAAGAAAGAAAGAAAGAAAGAAAGAAAGAAAGGGAGAGAGAGAGAGAGAGAGAAAGAAAGAAAGAAAGAAAGAAAGAAAGAAAGAAAGAAAGAAAGAAAGGAAGAAAGAACAAGTCCCTCCTGAGAGGGGCCTCCATGGGTGTGAAGTCTGCACATTCCCCCAAGTTGTGTGCGTTTTCTCGGGGGTCTCTGGTTTCCCCCACATCGCAAAGATGTGCACGGGGTGGGGGTGGGGGGTCCGCAGTGAGTGCACACTATCCTGGGTAAAGCAAGTTGTGGCTTGAAAACAGGAGAGTGGCAGAGGCTGGTGCACTGGTGATGGGACGGATGTTGGAACACTGTGTGACTGAAACTCAACCATGAATAATTTTGTAACTGTGTATCTCACAGTGATTCAATTTTTAAAAATATTTTAATTTAGCACAGCGGGTAGGGTGGTTGCCTTGCATGTGGCCGACCTGCTGACCCGGGTTCAATTCCTCCGCCCTCTCGGAGAGCCCGGCAAGCTACCGAGAGTATCTCGCCCACATGGCAAAGCCTGGCAAGCTCCCCATGATGTATTTGATATGCCAAACACAGTAACAACAAGTCTCACAATGAAGATGTGACTGGGCCCACTCGAGCAAATTGATGAACAATGGGAGGGCCATACTACAGTGCTGCAGTGGTAAAATGGCTACAGTTAAAATATAAAAAAAATTCCAAAAAGAAGTGAGTATGGGTGGGTGATTGCTCTGAGATGGAGGGGGTGGTCCTCTCCACGGCGGGTCCCACCTGAGCTGCAGGGATGTCTGGCCAGCTATGCCCCTAAACTGGAATTGGCCGCTTAGAAATTGCTGGGGTGGGGCGTCGTCCAGAGAGACAGAGCCGGGCCTTGCATGTGGAGTTCCACCGGGACCCCTTATGGAGCACCAGCAGGGGGCACTCCTGAGCTCAGAGTCAGGACCAGCTTGGACTCATTGCTGGGTGTGGTACCAAATCACAGTCCCCCAAATGGAGAAGAAATATGGCTCTCTGATTTCTATCACATGGGCTTGGGGGCTTTGTTTAGAAATTTGATGAGCTTTCCATGACCCGAGGCATGTGGAGGAAACTTAACTCTGATCATCTCAGCCAAGAGCCAAACTTCCTTAGCCCTCGTTGCCCTGAGCATCTGTCAATGACCTTGAATGCGCCCACACCTGCTCTGATGGGTGACCTGGGTGACGCAGCTTTTGGTAAACTGCTCTAGACGTGCAGTGCCAGTATCAGCACAAGGGGAGGTGACGTGCAGAACTCAGAACTGGACGTCTGTGCGGGGAGAACTGAATAAATCAGCTGGAGGTGGTTTCCTAGGGACTCTCAGATCTTGGGGGCCTGGTTCAAGGTCCGTAACTACAGAGATTCGAGCTATGAGACGAAGGAGGACATGTCAGAAAGAAATGGGGACCAGGGGGCTGGAAAGAAAGATAGCACAGCAGGGAGGGCGTTTGCCTTGCACGTGGCCAACCTGGGTTCGATTCCCAGCACCCCATATGGTCCCCCGAGCACCACCAGGAGTCATTCCTGAGTGCAGAGCCAGGAGTAACTCCTGTGCATCGCTGGGTGTGATCCAAAAAGAAAGAAAGAAAGAAAGAAAGAAAGAAAGAAAGAAAGAAAGAAAGAAAGGAAGGAAGGAAGGAAGGAAGGAAGGAAGGAAGGAAGGAAGGAAGGAAGGGAGGCCAGCAAGTGAGAGGCGAGAGTGCTCCTTTCCGGCAGGGTGGGCTTCACCCCAAAGGGCACCGTGCAGCCTGGGAGGGGGCCAGAGTGATCCATGGGTTGGGGGCTCCTCGCTGCACTGATGAATCTGGAACCCTTAACCAGGGTTCCCAGGAAGCTGCTGCATACAGGCCAGGGGCCTCCATGGCAGTGTGTCTGTCTGTCTGTCTGTCTGTCTTTCCCATTCCAGGGCAAGGAACTGCACTCCCTGCCATCAGCGCCCCAGTTAGAACAGGCCACAAGAGTTGGAAAAACTCCCCGTGGCGAACTTCTTTTCTCTTTTGGTTTTGGGGCCACACCCTGGCCAGGCTTAGGGGTTACTCCTGGCTCTGCACTCAGGAATTACTCCTGGCAGTGCTCGAGAGTACCATATGGGATGCCGGGGATGGAACCTGAGTTGGCTGCAGGCAAGGCAAGTGTCCTGCCTGCTGTACTCTCTTGGATTTGAACATTTGCATTCCGAGTTGCTTCTCAAGGCAAGTGATGCTGGGTGATCCAGCACCTTCTACCCCATTTCCTTCTTCTTCACACTAGCCACGAGCATCTTGAAGGGCGCCTGAGCGGGCAGGAGGCTGTGGGGAGTGTGAGGGGAGACAGACCTTCTTTAGAAGAGAAGTTGAGGAACTGATCCACTTCATGAGGCTCCAGCTTGATCTTTGGGATAATGGTCTGGCAGGAAGAATCAACCTATGGGAAGAATTTCAAACACAAGCTTTAAAACCCATCACCAAGCCTGAGGCCTTCAGGGGAGACATTCTCGCCTCTGTGTCCCCCGCCAGGGGGAAGTGGCGACTCTGACAGAGTTTTCCTGCTGACCCTTCATGGCACTGCTGTTGAGGGATGAATACCTGGGTTTTCTCAAGTAAAAATAAAAAATCCAGGGCTCATTTACCAGCACTTCTTTCTGTTGATTTTATGATAACATATGGGAACGCTATCATCAGTCACTGAGCACTCTGGTAAAGATTGTTTTTGTGATGCGGGCTGGAGCGACACAGACCATACATATGCCATATTAACATAAACATATATGTACATAAGGTAAAATGTACATATATATACACATGTATGTGTCTATATATTTATGTCTAAGCATATACTGTATATAATATATATATATATATACATCCTTAAACAGACAAACAATATCAAACAATAAGAATCTGCAACTTCCGATCCAACTTGTTTAAAGGGAAGGAAATGAAGTATACCCCAGTATTCATTTCCAGAGGGGGTTCCTCCTTTTCGAAGGGCGTGGAGATGGCCGTAATGGTCAGGGTGACCGAGGGAACAAGGCCAGGGGCTGGCTCGTCCGTGATTGGCTCCGTCTTGATGGTTGTTGAAGGAAAGTCTGCAGACAGGTACCACTTCTCACTCTCCACTTCATCTAAGGGACAAAGACAAGCACACATGTGAACTCACTGACTGACCTCTCTCCTTCAAAAAATTTTTAAAAAGGTCCAACCAAGAATTACTGAGAATAGAGTAACAGGAAGTAAAAAGAGACTGTGAAAGAGATGAATGGATGTAGAAATGAATAGTGGAGCAAGAACCTATCCAGGTGTTCACTAGAGTATAAGGAACCAGACAGATACACGTGAAAGGAAGGAATTGGCTTCCTGCAGAAAGCAGGAAGAAAACGGAACGCAGGGGGAACAGGGCAGGAAGGAGAATTTCTGTGTACATTGTTTGACACGTCTGGGTTTTCAAACCACGTACATAGGGCATCTATTATGTTTAATAGAATTTTATTTATTTATTTATTTATTTATTTTGCTTTTTGGGTCACACCTGGTGATGCACAGGGGTTACTCCTGGCTCTGCACTCAGGAGTTACACCTGGAGGTGCTCAGGGGACCATATGGGATGCTGGGAATTGAACCCGGGTTGACCGCGTGCAAGGCAAACAAACGCCCTACCCGTTGTGTTATCTCTCCAGCCCCTTTAATAGAATTTTAAATCAATTTTTATATATAAGTGAAACATACATTTAAAAATAAGAAAGAAGATAAACCACACAATATTCCCACCAATAGTGGATGAGCGTTCATTTTTCAGTACATCCCTGCCAACACTGGTTGTTTCTAATCTTTTTAATATATGCCGTTTTTTTTTTTTTGCTCTTTTGGGTCACACCCAGTGTGCTCAGGGGTTACTCCTGGCTCAGTGCTCAGGAATTACTCCTGGCGGTGCTTGGAGAACCATATGGGATGCCAGGTATTGAACCAGGGTTGGTAATGTGAAAGGCAAATGCCCTACCTGCTGTACTATCACTCTGGCCCCAATATATGCCATTCTTTTTTTTTTTTAATAAACTTTTGTTTATTTATTTATTTGCTTTTGGGGTCACACCTGGTGATGCACAGGGGTTACTCCTGACTCTGCACTCAGGAGTTACACCTGGCGGTGCTCAGGGGACCATATGGGACGCTGGGAATCCAACCTGGGTCAGCCGCATGCAAGGCAAACGGCCTACCCACTGTGTTACTGCTCCAGCCCCAATAATATGCCATTCTTGCTGGTGAGAAATGATAACTCGTTGTTTTGATTTGCATTTCCTTGATAAGTGATAATGAACACTTTTTCACCTGCTCTCTGGCCCTCTATCTTTTGTCTGCAGAAAAATACATGTTCATTTCCTTTCCCCCCCTTTTTGGAACCACAGCCAGCTGTGCTCAGGGCTTACTCCTGGTTCTGGGCTAAGGAATCATTCCTGGCAGGGCTCAGGATACCATGGCACTGGGGACTAAACCCTGGTCAGCTGTGTGCAAGGCAAATGTCTTACACATTGCACTGTCTCTCCAGGTCACTTTTGATGGGATTATTAGATTTTTGTAGATGAACTTTGTGATCTTAGATATTCCCCCTTTTCCGATGTATCACTGTCACTGTCACTGTCCTCCCATTGTTCATCGATTTTGCTCGAGCGGGCCCAGTAACATTGTGAGACTTGTTGTTACTGTGTTTGGCATGTCGAATATGTCATGGGTAGCTTGCCAAGCTTTGCCGTGCAGGCAAGATACTCTTGATAGCTTTCAGATGTATATTGTGAAAATATTTTCTTCCATTCAGTAGAGTGTCTTTTTATTTTAGTCCAAGTTCCTTTTGCCATGCAAAAGGTTTTTTAATTGAATATCCTCTTGTTCAGTTTGTATAGAAAACAGTATGAAAGAGTCCTCAGACAAGGAATAATAGAGCTCCCAGATGATCCATCAATTACACTTCTTTGGACCTACTCCCAAAACATAAAAATACAAATTTTAGAAAGATATATACACACCTATGCCCATTGCAATACTTAGTACAATAGCCAGGACACAGAAAGAACAATCCAAATATCTAATGACACATGAATGGATAAACACCACACACACACACACATACACACACACACTTGAGTAAGCTGAAATCGGGGAGTTGACTGCAAAATGGATGAAACAGGAGGATATCGAGTTATGTGAAGTTAGAAGGACAAGCGCCAGGTGTTCTCACTTATCTGTGATTGAGAGACAAAATGAGGGAATAGACAGTTTCAAACAATGACAAACTTTTGGTCATGGATAACAAAACTCACATTGCCAACCACTGGTAGCTGATGGACGGTGGGGGGATGGACAGGCAGATTAACAGGGACCCAGGGGCAGTGCTGGAGGGTCTTGGTGGTGGTGAAGCCACAGTTACTTTGGACATCCACACCATGAACTTTAATGCTATTGTAATCATACTACCTAAACTATAATAAACATTAATTAAAAACATCTTCATCACAATCTTTTTTCTTACTCCTGGTTCTGTGATCAGAGATTACTCCTGGCAGACTTGGGGGACCATACGGGGTACTGGGTTTCAAGCCTGGGTCCGTTTTACACAAGGCAAGTGCCCTACCCACTGTACTATCCCCTCGCCCATTTTTTTTAAAGTAGCAAACCCCCAGGGTCTCAAGAGAGAGGGCTGTGATTGGGTATCCAGTTTCCTACTGATACACAGTTATCTTTTTCTACAGCTTCTTCTTTTTTGTTCTCGGTCTTTTGTTCTCTTAGGGTGCCCAACACATCCGCTTATTCTTCGGATTTTACTGGACATCGAGAACTTCACTGAGCCTACAGGGAAAGCTTTGCATTTAAAACACGCATCTATGGAGCCCAAGCAATACAACAGGGCTCGAGGGCTTGCCTTGCATGCGGCCAGCCTCATTTAATTCCCACCCCCGCACCCCACCCCCATATCCATTAGTTCCCTAAGCCTGCCAAGAGTGATCCCTGAGTGCAGAGCCAGGAGTAAGTCCTGGGAACCACTGGATGTGCCCCACGCCCCCTACCGCCCCAAAAAACGCCAAATAAAATAAATGAAAAAGAACATCTGCTTCTCACTTGAATGAATCCTCCAGAGAAAAGAGTTGCCTCTTGGCGAGGCTGAGTCTTGGCTGGCTTCTGGCTTTCTGATCAACACCAGGCCTGGGAACCGCAACAAAGCGACCAGACAGAGGCTGCCGTAGCACGGAAACATGCTTCTCGGCCGCTGGGCAGCCATGTGCATTTCTAACCCAGTGGTTTCAGAGCCAGCCAATCGCTCAGCGCAGCCCTGGATAAGGAGGGAAGAAGATGGGACAGGAAACCAGGAAGTCGCAAAGCTGTGCTGAGCCAGCCAGACTCCCAAAGTCAGCATCTGACGCCAACGTTCACTAAAACCAAAGTAAAAGAGAATGAAGCTAGGCTCGCTTGACTTGTGAAAACACACACACACACACACACACACACACACACACACGGCATCCAGAGTAAGTGACTACTGCACCAAGGAGCAGTCATTCACATTTATAAAATCATCTTACACCAGAGAACTAGAATCAAGTTTTGTTAGTCACCCAACTTGGGTGGGGGGTCGACGGGGGTAACAGTGGGCACTGTCTAAAGCACTGTCCTCCCATTGTTCATCGATTTGCTCTAGCGGGCCCAATAACGTCTCCATCGTGAGACTTCTTGTTACTGTGTTTGGCATATCGAATATGTCACGGGGAGCTTGCCAGGCTTTGCCATGTGGGCGAAATACTCTTGGTAGCTTGCCGGGCTCTCTGAGAGGGGCAGAGGAATCGAACCTGGCTCAGCTGAGTCGGCCACGTGCAAGGCAAACGCCTTACTGCTGTGCTATCACTCCACCCTACCAGAGGGAAAAGTGAAGCTGGCAACAGTCACAACATTTCATAAGCAACACCCCTCAAACACAAGAAGAAGCTAGATTTGACACTCACAGTGGAAAATAATTTCCCCTACTGCACTGCTGAATCGATTCACAATTCCTGCCCTGAGGGGTGTCCTCGGGTGAAACAAGAACGGACTTGACTCCTCTGGCTCAGTGCTATTCTGCTTTTAGAAAGTTCCCCATCAGGACAGGGGCCACAACGGGGCACTTTCCATCCTTTCCTGGGGTGTGAGCTATACCTTGGCCCAGGGGGAGAAGGAACTCAGGATTTTCTGCCATGGGCCAAGGAGAGATCATACTTGGACTCCGCGCCAGCGGGCCCTCTAGCTCGGCTGAGAGAAGTATGTGGAGGAAGAGTCTAACAAGAAGAGAAGCAGGTGGAGGAAAAGAAGATTCTAACGCTGATCCCCAAACAAGTTCAGGGTCTAGAAGACTGTCAGCTGCAAGGAAGTCACACTCAGGGAAGAATGCAAACAGAATGGGGTAGGAAGTAAGGGAGAGAACAAATCACTCTCCACTCAACACATATTGCCTATCCACACAGATCTAAATTTGTCCCTAGGAGTTGGGTGGGAGGGACTGGAGCGACAGTACAGCAGGTAGGGTGTTTGCCTTGCACGCAGCCGACCTGGGTTCAATTCCCAACATCCCATATGGTCCCCTGAGCACTGCCAAGAGTAGTTCCTGAGTGCCAAAGCCAGGAGTAACCCCTGTGCATCACTGGGTGTGACTCTGTCGGCACTGTAGCACTGTCTTCCCATTATTCATGGATCTGCTGGAGCGGGCACCAGGAACGTCTCCATTGTGAGACTTGTTACTGTTTTTGGCATATTGAATATGCCATGGGGAGCTTGCCAGGCTCTGCCAGGTGGGCGGGATACTCTCGGTAGTTTGCCGGGCTCTCCCAGAGGGATGGAGGACTCCATCCTGGGTCGGCCACATGCAAGGCAAATACCCTACCTGCTGTGCTATCGCTCCAGCCCGGGTGTGATCCAAGAAGCAAAAAATTAAAAAATGAAAATAAAAAAAAATAGTAGTTGGGCGAGGAGACAGTATGATGAAATACAGACTTGGTATACAAAAGCAGTCATGAAGCACCTCCGAGGAAAATGTCACCAGCCGTGACCAGGGAGCTGGGCGGTAAGATCAGAGGCTTCTGATCATGTAGCTGTGACTAAATAAACACGA